CGTGTTTCGAAGGGGCCAGCAGCTCCTGCCATTGTTCTCAATTTTTTATATGTTGTTCTCTATCTTTTGTACTCAAGGTAGCAGCCCATTTGTAAGTAAGGGCCATTCATCAGAAGTAACAACTGAAGTAGCAGAGTTTTCTGTAACAAAACTGCTGAAAGAAGCTGTGAGAAGAAAAAAATACAGAGGGGATTACTGACACCTTCAGAAGCTTTTCACTGACGTAGTTAGTGTGTGATGTAAAATAGCAGAAATATGTGCTATGTAACCCAGCATGAGCATTTCGCTTACAGATTCAGTTGTTAATAAACAGGTGTTGGTACAACCCTGAAGGACAGTTTCTTTTTAACATAAAACCTTTATCTTCGAATTTCAGGTTGAAGTACCATTGAATTGAGTTCTCCAGTGCTAATGTATTATCTAGGGGGAAGAAATTCAGCCTGTGCTTTAGCTTATCTTTTTGGTATTATTCAGTAAGATTTCACTGTATATTTGTGTTCAGATGTGAAGGTTACTGGTCCCTCTGGCTAGAATTGGTATGAAATACAGTAAGATAAGATGCCTGTACATTGTCAGTGTTGATGATTGTTTTACAGAGTGCTGTACTCGAGGAGTAAAGATTGGAAGCAAAAGAAAAAGTTTGAACTGTGTAAGAGCAGACTGTCTGCCTAAAATCATGTAGCTTATGCTGTTTAGAGCAGATAGAAGTGCCATGGCTTGCTTCTGAATTGCGTCCTCTTCATGTTTTTGTTTGTAGCCCTCACTGATGTGACATGTTTTCACTGTCCATTGGCATCCCTAGAATAGCATAATTTCCTGTTTTATACTACTCCTGTTTTAGATTTCGTTTCATCCCATTCTGGAGACTGTTTAGTACGAGGTGTCCCTCTTGTTTTATTTCTTTCTTTGTCTGTCATACTGGCCTTGGTAAATGTAAGAGATGGTATACGTTTTCATTTGTCATCTGTGCATTGTGCCCCACTTAATAAATTATTCATTTGTAATATTATGCATTGCAGTGTGCTGTGTGTGTTTTGACACATGGAGAACACAAAAGCCATGCTTTTGTACATCGCTGTGGGAGGGAAATTTTTGTAAACAGACATTTCTTAAAGCAGCTTACTGCACCACTGTTAAAATGAGTAATAATCATGAGTTATACTACATGCTCTGTGGGTTGGTTTTCTTCAGAAGAGTATTTCTGTCTCTTGGCATCTATGATGTGAAGAGATGATTGCTTAAATAAAGGAAATTTTTGCATACAAAATAAGATGGAGATGGTGTAAATGAGCACTGCTGAAAACAACATCACATGAAGTGACAGAGCATTAACAACAGCGTAAGTATCTCGTTGTTATGGTTTGGCTGCGCCCAGCTCTCCCCCACCGGACTCCAGCATGATGGCACATGGTATGGAATACCCAGCTCTGTTTGGCCAGGTGAGGTCAGTCCGCCCGGCTGTGCCCCTTCCTGGATCCCGGTGAAAATTAATCTTGTCCTGGCCGAACCCAGGACACTCGTGCTCTGAAGAAAATTCCCAGTTATCTGCAGTACTGTTCAGACACTAGGCAGCAATCAACTGATATACAAATACCTTTATAAACCTGGAAAGTTATGTAGTGCAAGAGACTGTCCAAGTTTGGATCTAGGCACAGGAGCTTAGTAAATTCAAAGTGCTTGGTTCAAAGAAGTCACCTCACGGTAGTGATGATGCTCCAGTCAGATTTTTGCTGACCTTTTTTCATGCAGTACATCTTCAAAATGAGCTGGTAGGTTTTTTTTTTTTAATCACAGCTGCTCCTGCTGTTCTCAACCACGCATTTTCGTATTTTCTTAGGTGATGCTTTTTCGAACACTGGAAGAAATGACAGCGTCTTTCTTAAAGACATGGGCTAAAGGAGTTAAAGAACTCTGGAGTATGATTGAATCATTATTCCCAAAGATTCAGCAGAGGGAGACTTGTTCATAGAAGGGCTGTGAATGACCTAATATTAGTCTGGAAGCCCCTTTTCAGAAGTGCTTCTAGAAATTCTGATGAAGTCTTTTATTTCAGATTTAATTTCCATTAGTTTTATATAGAAAGAAAGCATTGATGTTGGTATTAATTCTGAACCTTAATCAAATATTAGAGGACAGAAATGAAATTATAACAGCACGCTGGGAATGGTTCTGAGGTGACTCATGGATGAGAAAAGGATGAGCATTCTAGATTTGCTTGGTGTTGATACCCAAGCTGCTGCTTTTCTGCTGCTTGTGTTGCTGGCAAAGTGTTTTTGCAATACGCTACTAATTGTTGTGTAATCTGCATGGAGGTGCCATAAAGAGAATTCTTGGTACTATTCTGACCAGTGTTACATGTTGATAATTTAGAGTGGATTGCTTATCAGATGCTGGATGCTTGGATACTTCAAAGAAAAAAAACGAATGGGATCTGTAGGAGAAGACTACCACAACGACTTTAGATTTAATTCTCAGGGACCTTCCTTATATATGTTTGATGACATATAGAAAGCTGTAGGTAGCCCAAGACTTCCGTCAAGACAATGCAGGCCAGTTCCTGGTCCACATGTTGCTTTCATTGCAATAGTAAGCTACTTAGTTGCTATTGAGGGTACATGCTTTCGGAGGGGAATGAGTTGGAGTTGACACTGAAATCTTGTTACTCTTCCTCAGCTGATGCCCTTATTTCTGAAAATCGGGTATGCAATACTAGCCATCCCATCAGTCCAGATATAGTTCTGCTTGTGGGCAGTTGCTTATGCTTACCCATGTTACTCCTTAGAGTCATTATTTACAGTGAAATTGGTAAGTCAAGAGTTGATGTATTCATGGCACTGCAGCCTTGAAGCAGCTGAAGATGTTAGTGACCAAGTGCAACTTGAAGTGAGAAGATACAGTCCTTAAGAAAGTTCTGTTGGTCTTTTTTGCTAGCGAAGCACAGGTAATATAGCATAGCTGCTTTCTCATTCAGCTGCATAAACGCTTTGTAGTTGTGAGTCTGTTGTAAGCAAGGCTCACTTGGCTGCTGGCAGTTCCCAGAAGACCCATCTGAGGGTTGCTAGGGTGCTTTTTGAACTCCACACCTCAAACGGAATCTGGTGGGGCTACATGGGGCTTGAACTCTCTTTTTTTTTTTTTTCATTATTGTCCAGGTGATTTTGTTGTGATTGAGTGGAAGTTAGGCAAATTAAGCCTTTTTGCAAGGACAACCGTTTGTTTCATGTAAAAGCTGAGCCTTCTTCATCTCTAGTAGATGTTGTATGTATTAGAATAAATTTTATTCTTAGGTTTACCTGTCTTCTGAGGGCAGAGAGGCCATTTGAAAGCTATTATGAAAACATTGATTTAAAAAACGGATGACACTGGATAAGACATTGCTTTTTCTGTTTCGTAGTTGAAGATTCTGTCTTCTGTGCTAGAACTGCACTGTTTTTGAATGGGAGTAATTTGGAGTCATCAAGTTAACTAGTAATTAAAGCTGTTCTTCCAGCTATATGTTTGCGGATGCCATGTCAGAGGAAAGGAAATATGCCGTAATCTTTGCCAGAGTCTGTAGCAGAATGTGTAAAAATAGCAATTGGAATGTGTCAGTAAAGAAACATTTGTGATCTGACTCCATTGCTGTGTGCTATATCATGGTCTACTTGCACACCTTGATGCATTGTGAAGAAGATGTTTTGGAGAAGATAGAATACAGGAGATACTGTGCATTAGGTACAAAGTGTGGCTGCAAAGTCTGTGCCCTCATATAAGTACTAATGTAATTTCTGGTGTACAGCATATATGATATAGATGTTATTTGAATGCCCAGGCAGATTCATAGTTTTCTTGAGCTTTTGTCAAAAGATCTCATGGCATCTTGCCCGTAAAAAAACCAGCTCGATTCAGAACCCTTCTATCTGTAGAGGGTACAGCAGAAAATCTAATAGTACTTGGTGGCAAATGCAGCAGTAGAAGTCCAGAAATTAGAATACTTCATGTAAAACTCTAACCTGGCCTACCACACTGACTCTTAAGAGGCTTAAGCTTACAAAAAGAGAAAGTTGTTTTTTCCCCCTGTCTGTACTAACTTTATATGTTAGATGAAATATGAGCCTTTCCTTCTATTTTGTTGACCTACTCCTTTAAAACCAGCTATTTGTAGTGCCTCTCTTCTTAGTTCTGATCATACCATTTTCAAAAGTCTGTATGGTAAAAGGAAAACTTGACTTAAGCGAAAGGCAGAAAAAGTTAGCCTTTTAGAATATCTTAGAACTTGGGGGCAAGAGAGTCTTGGGAGTTGTCTTGAAGAAGGTGCTTGTGAGAGAGAAAGGGAGGAAGTTCATAGAAGTATACTCTACAAGCAGTAGGTGTTCTTCTTTTCTTTGTCTTGATTGCCTCATCAAAAGTGCAGAAGATAGAAAAACTTTTAAGGAAAGGTGTTCACAGAAAGATTTGTTTAGGGTTACCATGAAAAGAGATTAGCAAAACCTGATGATGTTTGGTAGATGAAGTAATAATGAAGTGTGTTCTCAGTAGTAAATACTTTTTAACTCTTCTCACTGTACAAAGACAACATGTCTTTTTCAGTCTCCAGCTTCCCATTTAGAAGTTGAATAGTTGTAAACATATAGCAGTAGGGATCCATAACGTGTGGAAAAGTAATATTTTTTGTAACACTTTCAAGTAATGCAAGCAAATATTGCTCCAGTACCAGCTGATAAATTAGATGAAGAACTTACAGAGGGGAAAAACTGGCAAAGTGCGTTCCAAGTACAGCAGCTTTCTCAAAAGTATTGGCTACTGCTGGCACACAAATAAAGCTGTGCTGTCAACAGGGTGCAAGAAAACAGAGTAGCAACAGGATTCTGAACTACTATATATAGGCCGTGTATATAGTGGTGGATTCAGTGGTAGTAATTTAAAAAACCTCAGCCTGAGATGGGGGCTTAGCCACTAAGATATGCTCACAGTTTCTGTAACCTGTTTTTAATGAATATTCTACATTTTTTGTGTTTCAGAGATCCAGCTTACTTTGACGAAAACTGGCTGAACAGGATCAAAACAGAAGTAGGAGATAATTGGAGGCTAAAGGTATTTGACTTCCTTTGATTGTCTGCGAATGTGTGTTTCAGTTCTTCATACAGTATTCTATCTAAATGTTAGCGTATTTCTAAATTATCACCTTGCTTTGCAGTACAGCCTTTTGAATTATAGACCATTTTAATTACATTTATTTGTTTTTTATGTTGTTGTAGTCCTGCACAGTTTAGCAAAGAAAAAACGTTTGAAGTTTGTAAATAGGTTTCAATAATTTAAAAGGAAAATATTAAAATAAGTTTTATTCATCAGTTACCTCCCTTTGTTTTTCAAATATTGAATGAAAGATCTTTTTTAAATGCAAAGTGTGAAAGTAGCGTTAAAAAAAAAAAAAGAGCTTTGGGAAACAGCCCTACAAAGCCAGCAGAATAGTAAGCAATTTATTTACATGAAAATGGCAAAGTGTTGTTTCCTTTTACTTTATCAGCTCTGCACAACTACTGAGCTTTAGGAGAGGAAGTCATGTTTTTTCTCTGTTGTTTGTACTCAGCATGTTTTTAACCACAGTCTGTTTGCTGGGTCATTTGTATCACCTGGTATTCTAGTACATTCTCTGCAGGCCTTAAGACAATAAGGTGGTACTGCTGTACCCAAAGAACATAAATTCACATGCAGATGTCAGGTAGTTTCTGACCAATTTTGTTCAGAGAATGATACATCTGCCTTTCTAAATTGCCATTTCCAGCCTGACTACTTGGGGAAACAAAAAGGTTGTGCTTTTTGTGTTAGTTCATGCTTATTATAAAACCATTTTCTTCTAGCCACCAAAACCCTTCTGAGCATCTGGGGAAGGGCTACACCTGTGAAATGCTTTGGTACTTACAGGCTGATCAGCGTCACTGGCTGAACAGAAGGGACAGACAGATAACTGCTGCCTGAGACAAGGATGCAGCATACTGCTGCTGTGTATGTTTTGACTTGGCCAGCAGACCTGTCAGCCTGGTCTCTGCTGCCTGGCCAGCTGTGTGCAAGTCTGGGCTGCTTTAGAATGTCTTGTCTACCAGGGCTGCCAGCAAAAATGGGTACATTGATGAAGATATTTGACTGGCTGTTGGATGAAAGACCTAATCCCTAAAAAAGCTTGGTTAGTCCTTCTACTGCTTATAAAGCAGTTAATTTAAATGAATTTTTCAAAGAAGCTCATAGAACTGCAAATGAGCAGCTGGATACAAGGTTTTAGTTTTCTCAAAAATATTTCTGTGGCTTTTTTCTAAGGAATATTTAAGTCTTGGATGTTAAATTTGGAGAACAACAAATTGAGATCTGTTTGTTATAATAGCATTTCAGCTGATTTAAAGCAGAGCAGCAGCTTCTGTAACTTGTGGAGCTTGAGGAATAAATTTTTTTAGGTCTCCCACCAATCTGGCAGATCCTAAGGCTTAGCAGGTGTGAATAAGAAAAAAAAAAAAAAGACTGCAATCTAGTTACTTCCTTACGTGATTGAGGTTGGAAAAACATTAGGTCAAATTTCAGTTTCTTGCTGATGCCATTCCTTCTTGTTTTTCTTTTATCCATGTAAACAAGAACTAGAGACTGATTATTTTTTTGTTTAAAACACATGTATACTCTAGCTTTTTTGTCTACTTCTTTTATATACCACTTCCTTTTTCAAGAAGAATACCAAAAGGGACAAATGTGATACTGTAACCAGGAAAGTAATCCTATGCTTTGCCGACTGCTGTTCTTTATATAGGTGTAAACGCTATTAGTAATCTAGTTGTTCAAATGTCTATCAGTCAATCCGTCATTTGTAGCCTGGCTTGGAAGAACATTTTCAGTCTGTGTATTTCTATTTGTTTGTCACTAGATTTAAAATGTAGGCAACGTACTTCTGCGTGTCTCAATGATATAGATGTCCCTTCATTTTTTAAGAAGCACCATGAGAAAAGATAATAGGGTTATCTCACTACCTCGCAAGTCATGATAATGAGCTGTATTATAATCTTGTTGCAAAACATGGTTGGTCTTTGCCTCCAGTATCATATAGTGTGATAGTCACCACTTGTACAAGCTCTTGTTATAAAGAACCGCATAAAGGATCCAGTCTAGTAGGGGAAATAAGTTAAAACAACAAACCAAAATGTGATCTGCAGGTAATTCTACTGATGCCGTGAAAAGCCGGAACTGAAGACTCAATAGTCGGCAGACTATTAAGCAGGTATTCTTTATTGCGGCGCCGGGCACACGGGGGATCTCTCCTCCAAACGTGTGCACCGAAGAGACACAGTTACTAGATATTTATGCTATGTTAACATACATATTAATTACATTTCCAAGAAATGTTTATCGTAGTAATGGCTTTTCCGAGAATTCATTAATATATGGTAATGTCCATCGCACATGTTTGTTTGGCGTCTCTCGGCAGAGGTCTTCAGATTATCCTGCAGCCTCCTTATCTCTGTAGTTTGCATACCTGTTCTCCCAAGGCCCAGGCGCCTAAAGGGATTATTCAGGAGTCCCTTGTCTTGCAACCGTCCGAATTATTCACAAAGTACCAAGACTTGTTTCTGACCACCTGAAGTGATAACATCCCCTACATGTTACATTTGTTACATTTACAGTTATCACTACTTTGTGGACCTTTGTGTTAGAAGGGCCTCATACAGGTTAGTGTAGGCCTGATGCAGCCCTCCTAACCGCTGTTGGAAGAGATACTCGGAAAATCATGCGTTTGCTAACTTTGAATTGGATGCTGGCCTGTATAGGGAATAAACAAAATGATATGGCTCAGCTTTTCTTATTTTTTTTCGTTCAGCAGTTCACTTTCCTATAACTGCAAGAATGCCATCTTATTAAAAGTATTTTTCCTGCTGCTGTACCAGTTTAAAGCAAACGTATATATTCCCAGGGATGTCATTATGTTCTTGGTTTCAGGGCAGGATACAAAAAGGGAAATGTTAGATAGAATGCGGGGGACTTGCAGAGTGGGAGGCGTTCAGCGAGCATTCTGTGTCTTACAGCTGACCAAATATTTGTCTACTGTGTTAAGTAGAGAAACATGTGGTTACTTCTTTGTGGTTATAATTTCTGGGGCATAGCATACATCAGTGTACACAGCAGTTCATTTTCCCTTCGGCAACCAAAAACCCCTGCTCCTCCCTGCTGCCTTAACTGCAATTTTATGTTGTGGTAATAAAAGCCAAAAAACCCGCAAAAAAGAAAGATGTATTTCTTTCCTGATCTACAACTGAACACTTTAATATAGTCAAAGTTTAAACTGTACATACTAGTGTTTCATGCTGAAGAAGACATTTTGAAGATAAAACAGCCTTTATTGAAAATGGGTAACAGCACAGAAAACAATTCTGTTGACAAAATTTTGTTGCCAAGAATAGTTCAATGTCAAGTTGTACAGGAATACCAGTAACAGAACAGAACTTTAAACAGTTAATGATATAATACTCACATGTCAGTTCTGGAAATTACAGAATAAGTTGTTGACTGTCTGAGGGATGGGATTAAGCTGACACCACCCCATCCCCCATATTCCCCCTCATCCTTCCCCCTTTCAGTGTAGTTGTACCTAGCTTGGGAAAGGAAGGACATACATTGTTCGGCTTGATTTCTGACTCTTTTCTGGACTTCTTGCTTTGGCATTCAGACTACAGCATAAGTTTACTGTACATTTTTATTGATGTTTATAGTAGCAAGCAGTGTGTGTTCCATTAATGAATAGCACATTCAAACAATAGGAGCCACTAGACTTTCTGCAGCTAGTACAGTTTGAATGCCTTGTGTTTGATACAGTATTGCAAAATGAAATAATCAATGAAATTAGAGTACAGACTACTTAGTGCTGTAATCTAAGTAAACACACCTGATTTTTGAGAATTAATTTTGACTCCCTGCAGTAGTACAGTTATGTTTGCTCTGAAGTCTTTTACAGTACAAGCTAGGTTGACTGGTGGAGTATTGGAAGCTAGTTTTCAGTGTCCAGTGTCATCTTTCTGCTACTTTCTTGTTCCTTTGCAAGAGAAGGGAGCACTTATTCGTTAGCAACCGTTTAGATGTTTTGGTTTTTTTTTTCTGAGAAGGGTGGAAGCCTGTCACATCAATGCTTTTCTGCAAGCAGGAAGCAGAGATTATAGGCATATTGTAAACCAGCATTCATTTCTGTCAAAAAGATTATTAGCAACAGATACATTTAGTTCTGCTGTGATATACCCTTAATTCCTAAGTCAACAATATCTCCAAACATAAGTTATATGTGGAAACGCTCTCTGTGTTCAGAGCCACTTTCAGTTTATTTTTTTTATTGTCATTTAACTGAAGACAGTGTCTGTATCTGTTTTTTTGGGATTTCTTTTTGCAGAGAACAGCTAGGAGGGGAATGACCCCCAAAGCTGGTGGTATAGTCCCTCTCTAGGCTTTATTTATAGTCAATGAAGAGACAGGCTCCCACAGAATGCCATTTAAATAAATATAAATATTTGTAGAAAGGTTTGGGTTGGAGAGGACCTTATAAATCATCTTGTTCCGTCCCCCCTGCCACGGGCAGGGACACCTACCACTAGACCACCTCTCTCCAGCTTGGTCTTGAACACTTCCAGGGAGGGCGCAGCCACAGCTTCTCTGAGCAACCTGTTCCAGTGTTTCACCACCCTCAGAGTAAAGAATTTCTTTCTTCAATCTAGTTTAAATCTACCCTCTTTCAGTTTAAACCCATGACCTGTTGTTCTATCAACTACATGTCCATGTAAAAAGTCCTTCTCCAGCTTTCTTGTAGGCCTTCTTCAGGTACTGGAAGGCTGCTACAGGGTCTTCCCAGAGCCTTCTGTTCTCCAGGCTGAACAGCCCCAACTCTCTCAGCCTGTCCTAGTAGGAGAGGTGTTCCATCCCTCTGATCGTTTTTGTGGCCCTCCTCTGGACCTGATCCAACAGGTCCATGTCTTTCCTGTGCTGAGGGCTCCAGAGCTGGGCTCAGGACTCCAGGTGGAGTCTCACCAGAGCGGCGTAGGGAGGCAGAGTCACCTCCCTGGACGTGCTGGCTATGCTGCTTTTGATGCAGCCCAGGATATGGTTGGCCTTCTGGGCTGTGAGTGCATGTTGCTGGGTCATGTTGAGCTTCTCATCAACCAGCACCCCCAAGTCCTTCTCCTCAGGGCTCGTCCTCCTCTCAATGCATTCTCTGCCCAGCCTGTATTTGTGCTTAGATTAGAGCAGAAACCTAATGTATGTGGTGGGAATGATGCATGCATGCTTTTCTTCCCCTCTTTCCCCACCTTTAAGTGCAGCTGGCCTGAATATGTACCTTAATGAGATATATGAAGCTGATTGATTAAGAATTCTCTCACCGCTTGCAAGTGTGCCCTAGCAACACTTCCAGAGGTTATAAAGTTCTTAATTATAACCTGTCTGAAGGAAATTAGGTCTGTGCATAATTACCCAGGAAAGATACTGTTGAACAGTGTGTCAGAACATTGGGGTTCCCATTCAGACACTTCAGGACCTGAAATGTACAAAGAGAAGTTAATTTACACAGAGTCTTCAGCAAAAACATTATTTCAGTCATACTTGTGATATAAGGATAAATGAAAAATTGGTGACTGGCTATCATACTGTTAGAGAGAAAACAAGAGTTTAGATAACCCATGCTCCATTTATGTGGGCAATCACAAGCTTAAGGGCATTTCTACTGTCCACTTCATCAGGCTTTCCATTTCTTGTGCAAGTATATTGGTAAAGGTATAAATCTAGATGGAATACCATTACAGACCCTTAGTTTGGAACCAGTAAGTAAAACTGTATTAAATAAAAATAGAGATTTCATGGCCGGTGAGGAAAACAAAAAAAGGAGAAAAAAACCTGCAAACAGTAAGTCGTATGGTGTTGCCGGATCATAAGTTGCCTTCAGTAACCCAGGACACATCAACTCTCCTTTCATTCCAGTCAGTGTATCCAATTAATACTGTGTAATAAGGGTCAGTCTCATACTGAACACTGTGTGCTAACTATGTAGTACTAGACTACAGCCAAGATGGCTGTAAAGTGAGAGGATAACATAAGGAACGTCCACACAGCTCTGTTGTGGATAGTAGTGAAAATTAGATGTTCAAAGAAGGAATAATAACATGGAGGTTGCTTTTGTGGATGCATTAGTTGAAAGCTTAAAGCAAATGTCCTCTCCTTGATAGTATGAGATGGAAGAAATAAAGCAGGAAATGACAGATGGAAAAGACATTGAAAATTAATAGAGATTCATCTAGAAATAATTAATACTCTGTCTATTGTGAGTTGCAACAGCTTTTGAAGAGGATTAAAGCATAGTTGTCACTGGTTTGTTTTCTTTCTCCAGTGTTTCATGTCTTTTCCAACAGAGGTGTGGGTGCAGGGAATGGATGTGGAAGGGGTTGGGAGGGTAGTGTACGTGCTTTGTATGGAAAGGGAGGAAGTTGGGTTGATGCAAGCAAATAAGCCTCACATGTGATCATGGGCTGGTCTCCAAAGGATGATACAGTGCTTTATAGTCATGATCGGTATTGAAAATTCTATCTGTTGTATTCTACCACTGTGTGATTTAGTGGTCTTTGTTGACTAGTTATAGTTAGATTTCCCCCATGTGCTTAAGAAAAAGTAAAAAAAAAAAATTCTGAACAAACATCACCTGCTGTGATTTCAAATTCTGATGTAATTGGTTGTCTTTAACACTTTCTTGTGGTGGTGTTCATTTTCATTCGTGTCTGTTTGAAGTCTTCCTTTTATGAACTTACGCTATGACCTGACAAATGTTGCTGGAGCTGCTAAGTTAAATCTCAAAACAGAAAACATCTGTGGTAATTTCCCATGATGATTCTCTGTCAGTGGCAGTAGTTTTCGGATCATTGTTAAGTTTAGCCAGTCTGTAAAGAAGCTGCTTTAGCTTTATAATTGTCTGATTGTGTGCCAGGTACAAAGATGGTACAGTTAACTCTTGAAAGCGCATTATCCTAGTGCTTCTGATTGACAGTGGAATAAAATAGGAGCTCAAAGACAAGATGTTTTTTTGCAGTTTCTTTACTGTTTTCTTTTTCTGAGGGTGATGCCCTATATGTTAGTTTTGGTGACAGATCTTGATCAATACTGATTTTGTTCTAGCATCTCAACTCTTAGCTCTATGAAGGTTGTATGGAGGAAGATGACTATGTTTAAGGAATTTTAATTCAAACAATGCTTACAAGAAGCAAAGAAGTATTTTGTAGGCAGGTGCTTTCCATTTTGTTTCTCATTTTTTGGGATTATGTTCAAGTTTGAGGTTCCTCACAGTGTTCTCATCAGTAAACTGGACTTGAATTCTGCAGCATGGCCTTTGCGTTTCTGTGGCACTTTCTGCAGCACACTCAGGTAAATTACAAACTGGAAGATTTTAATGAATCAAGTTTGAAAATTATGTTCCAATCAGTGCAGTATTCTTTGTGGTGATTTGACATCAAAATCAAATTATTTACATTTCTTTAAATTCTTAAATCTGTTGCAGACTTCATTTGTGATTGTGCATAGCCTTTGAGAGGTGGTGGTGGTTGCTTTTGAGCAGACAGCTAGAAGATAGTTGTAGTTCTTACAGAAACATGATGTGTTATGTGTATTATTACAGAAGTAGTATGTATTTGGGAGTAGAAAGTGTAAACCTGAAAGTAAACTAATTATTATGCCGTTATGGGACGGAGAATAAATGTTGTTGTATACTTGCTATAGTGTAGCATCTCCAATTCTCATTCTAGGTTGTCAGAATATTTGATGTGCCACTTCTCAAGTCCAGGTGAATTTTTGTTTCTTGTATGAGTTAGTTCAGTGATTGTGAAGACAATCAGGCTGTTCTTATGTCTTAATAAGTGGTCAGCTTTTGCCACGTTTCCGGAAGGAAGTAGATTAATAGGGATAAGGTAATCAGATCATTATCACTTTGGATTTCATAGGTAAATCTTCTAATGTGGGTGTAACCTGTTCCTTTCTTGAGCTTTTCTTCGAAAAGAGCCTGGATTTTGCTTTCATAATCTTGTTTCGTATGTTGACTGTGTTGAAATGTTGAGTTTGTCCCTGGATTTTGGTATCGTGTTTCCTAACCATTTTCTGTGGTGTTTTCTCAGATCTTTTGGAGGATAGATGACTTCTGTCAGTGGACAGAATCTCCTAGCTGGATATTTTTCGAACGTAATGAAGAGTATAGAAGTTAATGTGGGCTTCAAAGATAGCTGGGATGTGAGAGTTTTCACTCTGCCTTCGTTATAGTTCCACAGTTTGGTGCTGTGGCTGCTGTTGTCGGCAACAGCACTTTGTGAATCCTAATTCAGCCAGGTTCAGCCTTTGCAGAACTTGTTTATAGACTTTGTAGGATCATTTAGGTTGGAAAACACCCTGAAGATCATTGAGTTCAACCACAAACCCAACACCGTAAATTCCACCACTAAATCATGTCCCCAAGCGCCACATCTACAGGTCTTATAAATACCTCCAGGGATGGTGGCTTAACCACTTCCCTAGGCAGCCTGTTCCAGTGCTTGGTGACCCTTTTGGTGAAGAAATTTTTCTGAATATCCGATCTAAACCTCCCCTGCCACAACTTGAGGCTGTTTCCTCTTGTCCTATCGCTTGGTACTTGGCAAAAGAGACCAATACCCACCTTGCTACAACCACCTCTCAGGTAGTTGTAGAAAGTCAAAAGGTCTCCTCTCAGTCTCCTGTTCTCAAGGCTAAACAACCCAGTTCCCTCAGCTGCTCTACTGTCACGTGAGAAGACAGTGCACTGCTACTGTTATCTGAATTCCTTGCTTAAATACTTGGACATTAATTCATGGGAATCTGTAGCAGTAACTTTTGGCAAATATTTGTTTTTTTCTAAATATCACCCGTGAGATAGTTAGGGCATTTTTATAATTTTTAAATATACTCTTTGTCTCAGAGACTTGATGTAAATGGATTTTTGCTGGAAATGGAGCGGTACTCAGCACTAGAGAAGTGTAGCATATATTCTATACAGCAGGAGACACTTCACTGATGCCATTGGTTATGCAAGTGAACAGAAGCTATCTTTATATGGCAGCTAAGACATTGCTGAGAAATGTGAATTTTCCTTTGATACTGTAAGATAGACATTCAATTGTAAAGAGCTGGGGGGGAATGAACAAAAATGAAAGAACTAAGAGGACGAATTATTGAGAAAGTTAATGAATTAAGCTTTCATAAGTTGGGAATAGAGGACAATATTAAGCAGTAGCTGGTTGTGATTTGGAGGAGGAGGTATATCTCTGCAGAAAGGAGATCACCAGGATACTTTAAGAGAAGAAAGGAGGGAAAGAATGTTTCAGCTTCTGGATACAAAAATAATCCTAAAATAAACAAGTGGTCCGTGTAAGATTCATGCTTTAAAGGCTCATCTAAAGCCTATGCAAGGCAATGTGATGTTTTTCATAAATTTAAATGGGGCCTGTCAGTTAATAAAGACTTATGATCAGGTCTGGAAGTCTGATCATAAGGGACTATTGCATAACTTTCATGATTTAATGATAAATTAAACTGCTCAAAGGGAAAGTCTCATTGTGGAAGTAGATGTGATTGTGTGATTCTTTTGTGTGATTCTTCTGTGATTACCTACTTTATGATAATTTCTCTGTAATTTATTTCCTGCATTTATTGTATGTCCTCCTTGTTCTTGTCAAATAGGTAAGCAACCTGAAGAAAGTTTTAAAAGGAATATTGGATTACAACCATGAGGTAAGAACATTTGAAGTGATCTACATCTACATTCCTGTTTGTTACATATTTTAGCTAACCTGTTTAGTGTGAATTGTATTGTACTGACTAAGTTCTAACTTTTTTTTTTCAAAGTATTTGGCATACAGTGTGTTTTATGGCCTATTCTCAGCTGTTAGCCTTTTCTAAAACTTCTCACCTGCTTTATTGAATACTCAGAGCTTACAGAGGAGTCAGATGTGCAAATTCTGTCAGGCAAACAGTAGATGTCTTTGCTTACTATGTTTTGATGATAGGCTTTAACAGGTGATGATAAGCTTTTTCATGATAGGCTGTGATTGATTTTTTTTTTTAAATATTTTTTTCTCCTCTGTTCCAACTAAAGACTGCCTTTTTCATGTATTTTTGTTTTCTCTTGAACAGAGAACATTTTTAGCCTCTCCTCACATTAAAATTTTTAATGAAATGTTTTAATCCTGGCGTATTCGAGTCTGCCGTTTGCATTTTCTCTTACACTATTGAGCAAACTCAGAGGTGAACCACTCCAGAGGAGATATAGTACAGTATTTTTTTCAGTGATGAGTCTGCAGCTGAATTACACTTCTAGTTTCAGTGACGTTTTGAGGCAAAGGGATCTGTACAGACCGCACCACAAAACCCATAATATGTATGTTCTGAACATTGCTTGTCTCAAAATACTAGCTTGTTATAAATACTTTGGAGAGGAACATATGTGATAACAAACATTTAAAAATGAACAGATTTGCAGAAAGGCTTTCGACACTGTCTCCCATAACATCTTCCTAGAGAAGCTCAGGAAGTGTGGGCTGGATGAGTGGTCAGTGAGGCGGATTGAGAAGTGGCTGAATGGCAGAACTCAGAGGGTTGTCATCGGTATCGTGAGCCTAGCTGGAGGCCGGTAACTAGTGGTGTCCCTCAGGGGTAAATACTGGGCCCAGTCTTGTTCAACTTCTTCATCAACGACCTGGATGAAGAGTTAGAATGTACCCTCAGCAAGTTTGCTAATGACACAAAACTGGGAGGAGTGGTAGATACACCAGAAGGCTGTGCTGCCATTCAGCGTGACCTGGACAGGCTGGAAAGCTGGGCAGAGAGGAACCTGATGAGGTCCAGCAAGGGCAAGTGCAGGGTCCTGCACCTGGGGAGGAACAACCCCATGCATCAGTACAGGCTTGGGGTGGACCTGCTTGAGTGCAGCTCTGCAGAGAGGGACCTGGGAGTGCTGGTGGACGACAGGTTGACCATGAGCCAGCAGTGTGCCCTGGTTGCCAAGAAAGCTAATGAGGTCCTGGGATGCATTAGGAGGAGTGTGGCCAGCAGGTCGAGGGAGGTTCTCCTTCCCCTCTACACTGCCCTAGTGAGGCCCCATCTGGAGTACTGTGTCCAGTTCTGGGCTCCCCACTTCAAGAAAGATGAGGAGCTACTGGAGAGAGTCCAG